CCTTCTAGAATGTTAAAAATTCAAATGTTATGGTCGAATTGTTTGGTGTGTGTATAAATAAATGAAAATTGGTGTATTTGCTTGGTCCTATTTATTAGAAAAATTTTCAGTCCACATTCCGGACGTAGTTCTTGTGCGGACTCCAATAATATGCGGCTATTCCTTCTAGAATGTTAAAAATTCAAATGTTATGGTCAAATTGTTTGGTGTGCGAATAAATAAATGAAAATTGGTGTATTTGTTTGGTCCTATTTATTAGAAAAATTTTCAGTCCAGATTCTGGACGTAGTTCTTGTGCGGACTCCAATAATATACGGCTACGTGTGCTATATCACAAATGTTATATATTATTGAAATAAGAACAATTATTTCGAAGTTATTGTCGTGGTTCCAATTTAATATTTTTCTTATGCGAGCCCCACACACACAAGTTTCGGATCGGACTCCAGACATAGCTCTATGTGCGGACTTCAATAATATATCTTTACTTGTATTAAGATTATATATTAATGAAATAGGAAGGATGGTTTCAATTTAATATTTTTTCAAGTGAGCCCCCTAAGTTAGCTCCCTAGTCCGGACAGAATTTTTCGCTCCTTATCTGTTCTCCGCGGCCCATTGCCCCGTCCACTGTCCCCGGCAGGCATGTCTCAAATAGCATCGCTACTCCTCTCTCCCTCTCTTTCTTTCCCGCTCATACCCGCAGTTACCCCAAATCCTCGCCGCGTCCCCTCTGTCCTCTTTAAATCCTCTGGCCGACTCGCCGCCGCCGGCGTCCACTTTCCCGCCATCACCTTCGCCGTCTCCGAGCCGAATGCCCCAAACTATCTCGATGAAGAAGAGTCCATCCTTCCCCTCCTCGAAGAACTCTCCGTAAGACCCTCTTCTTCTTCTTATCTTACTCGCTCGCTGTTTAAGTTGTGCCACTCATACACCCGAGTGGGGTGACGGGCCCGTTCTCTCAGGGATGCCTCGGTCTGCCTACAGATTACCTCTCAAATCTCCCTGGAGATCTTCGGCTAGATGTAAGGTTATTCACTTCGAGACGTGTATGTATGTTTGAATTCGCCGATTTGTGGTTTCTGATGGGTTCCTTTACTTCCTTTGCTTTTGGCTTCCTCTTTGAAGCTAAATGATGCCGCTTTTGATCTCGCTAATGGCCCTGTCTTGGATGAGGTTCGTTAGTCTTTGCCTAGTTTTGTTTCTTTCTGTGTTCTAGGGTTATTAGAACTGAATTCTATTGTTTGCTCGGATTTTCCTTATATTAGCTCGTGAGGCTGCATGCAGAAAATGAAGCTCCTTATCGTTACAATTTTGTAGTGTGGCAAAGAAGTTGGGGAACTCTTTTTAAATTTGTCTCGAGCATGGGAGCAAGCCGACACAATGACATCAAACATCCTAGCAAGCGAACTTCCGTCGTTGTATGATCATTTGAGCAGTGATCTCAAACCAGGCAAGGAGCATGGAAACTATTGCCATTGTTTATACCTTCTGCATCTATTGACGTTTTTTTTTTGTTGAAGTAATAGTTTGACTTCTGTGTAGCAATTGGGAAGCGATTTCTATCTGCAGGCAGACGATTTGAGGCTATGGGACAGTACGGACAAGGAGAGCTACAAAGGGTATGGCTTGGACTTGATATATTCTGTTTTTTCTAGTTCTGAAGCTGTTTATTCTAATCTGTTGAGTTTTTCTCATTTATTTCCCGTGGCCTTTTATTCTTCAAGAAGTTAGATGTTGCGAACGTATATATTGGCAGTGCCATCTGTATCTTTTTTAATTATCCTTTCAAGGGGCAATTTGGTTCAGCTTGATTCAATGTTATTTAGATGTCACTATTATTAATACACCAATATTATTATTTGTCAGTGCTATTTTTTAAGTACTGTTTGTTTGATGATAACATCTATTGCATGTTTGATTCTTGCTATCTCAAGAGTACTCTATGAAGCTTCTATAGATGTCGCTCAATTTTAATTGGCATCTGGCATTGGTTTAGGACATGAATGACATTTAAATGAGTATTATTTAGAGCTGTCAACTAATCAAATGACCAACATCTAGGCATTAGATATCAATATTTGTCAATCAAATCTTTTAACACTTAATCAACTGTTTCTAATGTAATATGTATTACTTGTTTTGTTTTAAAAGGCTGCTTGTAGAAGTATTTTGAAAACCTTTCGGTGTCAATGAACAAGCTTGGCATGAATAGCTTGCTAAAAACACTTTTTTTGATAAAAAATCAGAAGACATGAAATGTTTTAATTGACTTTGATAATTGTGATGCTATTTTGAATATGTTAGGTCAATGATTATTTGGAATTATAGAATTGTTGACCCATAAGCTTATGATAATAATGAGCTTATTTTGATATTATTAAACTAAAAATTTGGAGGTACTAATGTTTCAATTAAGTCATTATAAGATTGATGTAATGCTATAATTACTATGATGAGATTATTAGTATAGGTACGATCCAGTGGCCACACATCATCAAGCTGACGTGAAGGAAGGACTCAAGATAATAATTGAAGATTTATCTTGACACTTGTTGTCTTGTAATTTTATTTAATTTAATATTTAGTAATTGTAATTGCAAAATGTTTTACTTTAGTGCTCTATATGACTTTTAAAACTAATTTGAAATCTTTAATAGTTTGATGACAAAAATATGTTTGGAGATATTGATGCTTTAATTAAGTGATTACTGCATTGATAGAATGCAATAATCAACATGATGAAATTGTTAAATTCTGAGACATTACCATTCATAGTCAAGGAGGCATGATGGAAGACTCAAGATCAAAATTGAAGATTTTTATTGAATTTATTTTCTTGTTATTTTTACTACAAATTTTTTTTTAAGAACATGCAATTGCTCATGTTTCAAGGTTTCATGTCAAGGAATGTGTTGAATTGGCATATTTTATCAAGGGGTTGGTTTGGAAGAAAACTAGCTTCATATTAACTTTTTGTGAGCATTTTATTTGAATAATATCTGTTATACTTTTTTTTTGGATCCTATGGTTCAGTGAAGAAGATATAGATAGACAAAGTTATTGTGGTGGAAATTATAATATTAAGATAGATGTGCAAAAATATTAGGAATGATGAATTGAGAAAATATCATATATGAGAATTCATGGAGTGGCCAAAAGAACATCGTGTTATAAAAATATATCATAGAAGTATAATTGTAAATTCTATGAAGATAAAAATAGCCTAGTTTTGTGTTATGGATTAAGTATTGGGCTGTGAGGAAGTTTTGGACATCGAAAATAAGAAGATTAAGATGGATTTATTGTATTCCTATAAATGATAGATTATATTAGAACGGTGATGGGAGTGATATAGATTGAAGGTAAGTTAATGAAGAGCAGATCTTGATGTTTTGGATCAAAAATTAAAATGTAATCCAAGGGCTAAATGGAACAGATGTATTGCAGATGTATTGAAAAAAAAAAAAGAATTGGTTTAGAACTTGATGCAATACTTATTAAGAGTAAAGAAAATGAAGAACGATTATTGATAAATATGGCTCAAATTTGTTGGGATGATGAAAAATGGGTTCAAAGATCACTTCATCTATATGTTTGTTTCTTTCTTTTTGTATATACGAAAAATATTAGCATGAATCTTGAAAAAATCAAGCGGTTCGAAGGGACTCCACGATTTTCGATCTGAATTGCATACGAAAGATTATCAAGTGATTGGCTAAGTCATCACACTTGCTCAGAAGACCAGTATTCCTATCAGAGCTAAATGGCAGATTGAATCCGTTTGCTATCATAATCGATCAGGAATTAGGTGACTGACAGTTAGAATTAAAAGTCAGTTGGCTTACTATGTATTATATTTGATGGTCGCAACTATTTATGAAAGTGACACCCATTCAGTTATCTGTATTAGAGAAGTAGTTATATCAACTACCCAATATTAGAAAAAAGACTATCCTCTAAGTAATGAGATAAAGAGGGATGATAATGTAATTGTAAACCTGAGCCATCTATGATTATAAATAGGGGTTGTTTTATGTGTAAGGGGTTACACACTTATTACACTAAAACTCATAGACTTTTGATCTCTTTTTATTTCGTGCTCTATCTCTCGAGGAGTGCCTACTTAGATTTGAGATTTAACATCTTAAAAGGTGGTGCAGTGTGTGTGGACATGCTATAGACGAGAAACAGAGCGCTACAAGAAGGTGAGATTAGCCGAAGAGACACATCAATAATGGAATGTACTCAGGAATTTATACAACAACAAATTTAACTGCAAATGCAGGAGTTGCAAAACCAAATGGATGGTTGGTTTAATGCTTTCCAGGAGGCAATTATGCGAATGCGAGATCAACCGCCTCTCGAGAGTCCTACAGAATTTAACCTCGTGGGTTAGAACCTTGAGAAGAACCAACAGTTCCTAACAGTCGGAGATAGCCGAAGAGAACGAAAACTCTCAACAAGAAGATGCTTGGTCTGCATTAGTGGAGAGAAATTGGTCGACACGGGACAAAGCATCTTAGGTACTATTTCCGGACAAGCAATTGAATTAAAGATCAAAGGAGATCGAGTTTGGTGATCATGCAGAGGAGAAAACAAAGAAACATAAGTGTTCTATTTTCCAAAAGTAATTTGTTTAAATAAGTATTGTTTAGTTTTACTATTAACTCCAATGGTTAAACATAAAATTTAAGGATTTAAACTCTTAATTAAAATGATAAAATTATTAATTTAATTATAATTAACTAAAACATAATTTTTTTATGTGAGGTAAAATTATTAATATAAATATGTTGTATATTATTGGTGTCAATTTGAAGGATGTGACAAAAGTTAAGAGCAAGGAAATCATCTAGGCTTAAGATGACTAATTATGTTTTTAAGGCACAATAATATTTCATGCTTACAGTTTTTCACTAGTATGTCGTATAACAATAAAATGAAATCTTATATGGTCATTCATATCGTAGTCATGAAATATACATATTAAATACTGTTGTCTTAATAGTTGCATAATATTTTATTTTATAAGTATATCAAATTATTGGATGAACTTTATGTTCTAGTAGAGATCTATCTGTTAGCTTATTCCACGGTTAGATATATAAGTCAGATTATTGCTTGACCATTAGAGTTATAGTAAAAGTGCATCTATTAGATTATTGCATGATCTTTATTTTCTAGTAAAGTTGCATTATTTTTGGTAGATAAATACAAGTTGTCTTATATGATAAGAATGTATGTTATGAAGAATAAAATGATGTATATATGAATATTTGTTTGTGCAGGTTAATAAGAGTTCACCCTTATGGTATAGACAGGGGACACTAATGTTCCTGCGCGTGTACATATTATTCTACCATCCCAAATAAATGTGATGTTTAGATCGCTAATTGCTGTGTTATTGAGAGAATATTGACTAGATGTGAGTATACACCTTTCCTTCTCAGACAATCATGTAAATTTGATCACGAACCGTTGTACCGATGAGATAATATCGGTTAGGTATGTGTTATATTATATTTTGACGGTGCTCCAAAGACAGATGTCAATGCTAGCATTATTAAGTAAAAGTAAAGTTAAAGATTAATATTGAAGAGTACACTTAAAGTTAAAACATGTCAAAGTTTAAATTATTTTTATTAAATGAATGTTATTGACACACATTGGATTATTTTAGTATCTTCTATAATGAAATATGAAAGTCCAACCTACATATTATTTTTTTTTCATAAATTATTGTGGTTTAGAAATGTGATTGCTCGACTGAGTTATTTTAGATAACTCATTATATTGTTTTAATATATTTTTCAGGTTTTAAACTATTTGAATAAGATGAATAGAAGAGGAACTAATGCATACAAAAGCTGAGTTCACGACTGGAAAGATAAATATTTAATTGTTAATTTTTTTTTTACAAGCTCTTTTCAATTAATATGTGGGTGTTAAACTATTAGTGATAGATAAAATAATAGGAAAATTAATTCCACCACCATTTGACTGACCGTTTCCGCTTTGGGTGATAGATAAAATAATAGGAAAATTAATTCCACCATTTGACTGACCGTTTCCGCTTTGGTTAATTTTAAGCCCTAGGCCGGATTGTGACCGTTTGAGCTATTGAGAGTGTTCGTAAATTCATGAAGTTGTCTGATCTGATATTTTTGCTAACCTGACCCAAATTCCAAGATTGATCCAATCCTATGTAAGCATGTCTGGGCCAAGTTATTGGGTATTCATCTACATATTTAATTAACCCATTCTTTATCTCTTTGTATTTTACTGTAAAAAGAACAAAAGAATTAAATATCTCCAATAACTAGTTAATAATAGTTTATAACATGCAATCAATGGTTGTCATGATGTGTAACTTAGTCTACGAACTGTCTTTCAGTGCAAGATCTCGAGCGGGGTTGTTGTATGCTGCTTTTTACTTGCAAAAATGCATAACCTTCAGTGAGATTGAAAGACTTGAAACACTGCTCTGGGCTTGCCCCTCCATTATGACCATGAAAAATCTTCGAGATCTCTTTTGCATTTGTTATGTAATGTTTCTTTTTTGTATGGGAGTTTATTTAGTTATAATAAATTACAACATTGCTCATTGATGTGCAATTCACATGGATTAATAATTTAATCCATTCATAATTTGCAGATTGCTCAAGCAATGATCAAGATTGGGAAGCTGCTTTCTCTTGCTCCAGTACCTCAAACAGACAAATCGCCAAAGAAAGAATCAAGAACTTTTAAGGTAATCAGGTCCCGCTACTTCATGCTTCACTAGAATTCATTTTTTCTGTTCATATAGCTGAAGCTGCAGTTTCGACCGTTTTTTCTTTTAGTTCGGCGAACTTCAGGTCGCATTGACTCCAGAGAAAGCAAACATAGGAGCTGCTATTGCCTTTGCTTTTGGGTAAAGCTTCGTTACCCGAGTGTGTTAAATCTGATGTTTATATAACTAAGATCATTTATATTCCCCAAGGTTTGATAAATTTTAAAGAAAACATTTTGATGATTTGATTGTACTGCTTTTAACTTTTTCCATGAACTTCGAATATAGATTTCTTTCGTGGGAGCTTAGCCAAGGCATGCAAAACATTCCAGAAAGCTCATTCCAGTATGCAAATGATAATGCGCTCATGCTGGCAAAGGTGCTTAGCAAATTTAATACTTGGGAAATTACCACACAATACTTATGGATTTACATGTACATACATACCACAATACTGATGAATTTACATGTCCAAAACCCAGAGTTTGATATTTACATTTATAACACATTTTTATCATAAACCTATATATGAGAAGGTATATTTCATTTTTAAAAAGGTTGCGGATGTGATTTTTTTGATGTGATATTAAAGATTTGATTGGCATGCAAGTAAATACGAATGTTTAGGTGTTAGATATGTAAATACATAAGAATTGTGTGAAATGTATGTAAATGCCCTATAATATTTTCGAGTGTCATTTTGAAAATTTATGTCCATCTTTTAGTGCAAATATGATATAATCTGTTTAATTTGCTTCACTCTGACTTTCTTGTAGTCACTTAGAGGATTCCTTCTTCTGATTGCTTATTCCTCTGCCCTTTTGTCTGCATTTGCTTCTGTTGGTCTCTTGTTACTTGGACGGCAACTGAGCTCTGAAAATTCGAAGGAACCGTAACCTCAGTGTGAGTGAAATAATCACAATTACCAAAAGATTGTGTTAAAAAAAATATCATATACTTTTTTTACCATTTAAGTTAATGTATATATTGCTTTTACATATATGAAAGTTTCTTTTCTACGTTTTAGTTAGGGCATCTTGTGTTGCATTTCTATGTTTGCTTATCGTAATTTTAAATCAAATACAGCTATTAAATTTTAGGAAATGTCTGTTCAACAAATTTTATTTTGAAACAAAATAGTGTGTTCAAAATTTGAAAACATCAATTATGAAAATATGAAACAAATTCTCATTTGCTCGTGTTTCTATTCCAAGTGATTACAAAAATAAATGAGTGTGAATTTTTGTGATTTAACTTGATTAGGATTTAATAAATCTGGTAAATTTGAATTTATTAAATTAATTTCTAGTTAACTCTCAGAAATTGTTTGGCATTATATTTTGTTAAATTCAATTAACTGCAGTTAAACAGTGGTAACTTTTTGTTTGATTTAAGTTTTTGTTTTTTTAAATAAAACATGACAATATTTTTAAATGAAAAAGAGAGTACAGCTTCAGCACTTGCTCCCTCCCTGGCCCACAAACAGTTACCATTACAACAATCAAATGGAACCACCCTGTAATGCTAAAGTCTGGAAATAGTAAATAAGTACTTAATACTCCTGTAATGCTACTTGATAAACTCTATAACTAGTGTCTGTCATGGATCCATCCAATGGATCCATAATTAAATGATATTTCAAGCTCTTAAGTTGCAAGTAATCAAAAGTAAATCATCTTGTTCATATGGTTGTTGTCCCATCCATAAAAAATAATGATTGTTTGCTCCAATGCATCCGCTAGATGAATTCCCTTTGAAACTGTTCATTCCAATTTGCTTAAAGTTCTATTTGAAAATAATATGGGAAGCCCTTAATACTCTAGGGCTAGGGATTGATACTCGAATTCAAGTTGAGTACATTCTTCAATCTTCCTTCTTCCTTCATTCTTCAATAGATAGGATGCATGAAACTTGTAACTAATGCTTCATTATACGCCACGACCTAGAACACACAGTAAATAAGAATGGTGAAACTCAAGTTATGATTAAGCCTTGAACCTATGAAGCAAATTTTTGAACTAACTGACACTTTCATCCCATCTCATACTATCAAAATATTATATTACACCTTCAACCCATCTCCTACAATCAAAATATTTTATTATTAGGTTGTGCTGTGAAATAATTTTATATTGAGATAATGTGATCAAAATTTCTTACATGTGCTTTTCACATGTTCGTGATGATTGTATGTCACACAATATTACCTTGAGCTCTTATCGATAGACACATACATGTGCGGGTCCTCATCACCAATCGCCATCTCACTTGACTCACTGGTGTGTTTCATTTAAGTTTGGGACATTAAAATATTATATCATATCTATGATATTGACTGATAAAATTTTATAAGACAACATAAGCGATTACAATATCTGTCTAGATATTTGGAGAAACTACTGCATATGAGTTAAAACTTGAAGTATTTTTTTTAGATACCAAATATTCTTTCAATTATGATAAGTAGTTGGACAAATTATTATACTGCTCCTGTGTGTTGAATACACTATAGATTTGGTTCCGTGATTTCACTCAAATGATACAGAAGTGTGCTAATGGTTTCTCAATGTTATCATAGTCAGAATCAACTAGGTAATACCACCCTTATTGCACTCCAACTATGCCATCTTCCACCAATCAACGCATCTTTCCCATATCTACAGCTGAGCTCTCCTAATTGAAGTAATGTGCCCAAACTGACGATTTAACGATATGGTTGCCATCACATTTTGAGAAGTAAATCCTTTAATATTTTGATACCTATTCCACAATTCTTGACTTAGATTAGCCATTATGTGTCTACTGTCAATTGCGCCAATTGCATTGAGAAAAAAATGATATGTGCATTCTTTATGATATAAGGCTGATATTTTGATTCAAGTGATAACAAATTGAACTCATCAACTAATGATGCAATAGTTTGTAACACAAGTCTGAAGTATTTACCAACTATTTCTAGCGAATGTTGGAAGAACTCACACAACTGCCTATAAATGTGTGCATGTACAATGCCTCTGAGAAATATTTCAAGCTGTTATGCTAGAACCATGTTTCTCGTGAGTAGATCATGTTTTACCAAAATATTATGTAGCTGCACAAAAGTCGCAGATGATGTTTCAAAGATGCTCCTGGGTGATCAGCAAAAACATCCATCACATATCAATATCTGGAGTTTGTTCAATCAAACATAGGTCTTTGAATTAAATTTTTCTCGTCCAAAGATTTACTTTTCTAAATCATGGATAATTGCGCATTGATGACATTATTTACCTTAATATAATTATCAATCATGTTTCAAATAAGACTGGGTAGCCCGCCTATCAAATAATTAGGCATTTCTATCGTTTGAAACTGCCACAACATGTCACTACAGAAGCAAATATAATATTTAACTCAGGCAAATCAAACATTAGATGCAGATAAATTAAAAGATAATTCACATTGCTAATTCAATGATTATCCAAAATAAATGCAAACATGTTTTGTAAGACACATAGCAAACATTACATGGTCACCAAGGATAACCTAAATCCTTAATTAATAAAAGAACTACTACCATGCGTTCAAAATCATCTAACAAATGCTACATGGTCGGAAAGGATTATCCAAAACCTTTTCAAGTTATAGAAATAACTACAATCATGCTTTCTAACTCACATAACACACTTCATTTTCGGCCAACTTTTAGAAAAAAAAATTTTCTTATTTAATTTTCATATAATTTTAATTTTGAAAATAATATTTTGAATTTTTTTTAAGTTGAGATTGAACAGATATAATATATATAATAGTTTAGATAGTTGAGCACAATACCACGAGTAATATGTCATCTCGAATGATAAGCATATCATTTGTTAGTAGGCTCGACTATTAATATAAGAAATTTATGAATATTTTGGTCTGTTAAATTTATGACCGACAATTTCCCTATCGGGGAAATCAATGCAACACATAATAAGTTGTGCTTTATAATTGGGGGGTGCTAAATAGCACTTGCAAGCAAATAGTTAGAAATCATTATTTCCTCTCTCATAGTGGTACCTGTGTATGTGTATATAAGTAGGATGACACCTTGTAGAAGAATGTCTTAACACATTATCATGCATATCAAGCACGCAGTCACACCAAAATAACACAACAAAAAGATGTCTGTCTAGGGTAACCAATTCAACAAAGAACAATAACAGACATAAAAAGACTCCCTAGCACCCTAGTTCCTAGCCTAGCATATCATCTAACGAAAATTGTCCTAACCCAATACCTAAGTGCACAAGATAAAGTATGTGGCTACCGTATGACTTTGACGGAGTTGTCACACCGGCCCCATCCTAAAGATTTAAGGGATCAAAAGAGTGGGTGACATTTTAAAAGAGGTGATCTCACATATGACCTAAAATATAGTTTTAAAAGTAGGGCAGATAATACATAAATAATAAAAAAATATATATTTTTATACTTTTAAAATAGCAGACATACAATGCGGGTCTGTGACACATGACACATGTTAGAACCCTTAGATTCTTAGCACAGTCATACAATTTTTGTTACTCGTGATACATAAACTCGCACTGCTCGTGGAGGCATCCTCACTGGTAACGCTCGTTTGAGTATCACGACTAACAAACGGGTCACTCTCCTAATGAGCAGGACGTGCTATCAAGGTGAATGCGCAAACATATATACATGCAAGAAGCTCACATTGTGATTGTTCGACCGCAATACAAAACAATCACAATGGGTGCCCAGAGGGAGAACAAACACATCTAGCAACAAGATACAAGGATGCTACCTGCAAGATGACACACGCAAGATGACACACGCAAATGGGATGTTCTGGTAAAACATACTACCTATGAAGAAGAATTATGTCTGACGGGGACCCAGGGTGTCATGCGACAAACAGACACTGGCTACAAATGAGTTTGCATCAAGTAAAATGAAACATATAAAAGGGTTCGCACTTTACCCAAGATACACTCACCGAGCACACATGCAAACATTCAGGATATGCAATAAGCAAACAAGAGTGCACCAAAGTGATGAGAGTGAGTATGTCGTGGAGGCAGTGACTTAGAAAAGACGGACATGCCATGAAGGCAGTGACCCTAAGGATGGGCATGCTGAGGAGGTAGTGACCTAAGAACCGGCATGCCGTGAAGGTAACTGCTCGAACAAAAAGGGTATACCGAGGAGGCGATGACCCGGAGGTGGGCATGCTGTGGCGGAAATAATCCAAATTAAATGGTGTGCTGGAGAGGCAGTGACCTGAAAGTGGGCATGCCATGGCGGCGTAACTTGAACAAAAGGGTATACCAAAGAGACAGTGACTCGGAGGTGGGCATGTCATGGCGACAACAATCCAAACGAAATGATATTTCTAGGAGGCAATGACTAGAGTTGGGCATGCCTTGGCGGCAATGACCCGAACAAAAGGATATGTCGAGGAGGCAGTAAGCTGGCATGTCATGGCGACAACAACCCGATCAAAAGGGTATGTCAAGGAGGCAGTGACCCGGAGGTGGGCATGCCTTGGCGGCAGTGGCCCAAACAAAAGTGTATGTCTAGAAGGTAGTGAATCAGAGGTGGGCATGTCGTGGCAACAACAGCTCGAACAAAAGGGTATGGCGAGGAGGCAGTGAGCTAGAGATGGGCATGCCATGTTGGCAGTGACCCGAACAAAATGATATGTCGAGGAGGTAGTGACCCATAGGTGGGCATGCCATTGCGACAACACCCTAAATAAAATGGTATGTCAAGGAGGCGATAAGTTGGAGGTGGGCATGTCGTGATGGCAAAACCCCAAATAAAAGGGTACGCCGAGGAGGCAATGTCCCAGAGGTGGGCATGCCATGGCAGCAGCGGCCCAAACAATAGGGTATGCCGAGGAGGTAGTGACTTAGAGGTGGGCATGCTGTGGCGGCAGTGACCCGAACAAAAGGGTATGCTGAGGAGGCAGTGACCCGGAGGTGGGCATGCGTTAGCGGAAGTGGACCGAACGAAAGGGTTCCAAGAAGGCAATGACCCGGAGGT